ACTATATATGGTGAGAGAATAGGTCCAGTTCTTAAAATTATGTGTCTGCACAGAAAATTATAGTTGACTTAGACAAATTACCTGGAGTTCGTAAGTGCCATATATAGTAATCACTTTACTAGAAGTATGGTAATTGTGACAGAAAATGCCTGAATCATTGTGTGGTTTCTATGAGTGTATGGACTACTAATGGCTTTGTGTGACTGCATGCAAGAGTCCAATATAACTAGGGACTGTTCTACTAACTTTCATTAGAGAAAGTTTCATATATCACCTGAACTTTGTATTGAATGAAGCGGCCTTGCCCACACAAAATGCTTCAGTCGGGCTTTTAAGCTTTTGGGCTTTCTTTTTTGTTGTTCCTAGGAGATTATATACAGTGGTTTATTGTAGATAAAGCAAATTCCATCAACAACTAATGTAACAAGAAGATATATTTTGCAAACCAAATAATGTTTCACTTTCCTGAGTTCCATTAAGTCTTTGGAACATCAGTTCAAAATTAGTAAATTTATAGTCCTTTGATTAAAGTTCCTCACTGTTTATTTGGATACTTCTACTTTTCCTCATAAGTTCAGACATTAATCCTTGGTCTTTTTTTAAAATACTGAGTACAGTTCAGTTGCTTTTGTACTGTTTCTTAATGTGTTTCATTCAGGATTAAAATTAGTATTAAATGTTTTAAAATGGGCTTCATTGTGGAATATAAGTAACATGGCTTTTGGAAATGAATTACTAATCTGATCTTCTAAATATATTCTAGTATAAGATACTGTTGTCCATACTTTGTACTTCCTGCCAGTTTAAAAACTTTTGGTTCTTACTTTGTATATAGTGAATGCCTTTTTCTTTTCAGTTGTTTTAAATACAGCTAATAATTCACAAAACTGATTTCTTTTGCAATCCTTCATGAGAATTTTCTGTCAGTTATCAGAAGATAATCATGTTGATAGACTTTATGACCTCGCTTTAAAGGGTTTTTTTCCAGTTTTGTCTTTTTCCTTTCTTCCCTATGTAAGGTCACTTACGCAGATAATTTAACCAGACCCTGTGTACCTTCAGTTTGTTTATTGCATCATATTTGCCTGCCTATTCTGATCATACTGATTTATGTTTAACAATAGTTTAAAAGTAAAAGCTGAAAGATGCTAGTTGGTAGTTCTTTCTTATACTTATTTATTTTTATTTCAGAGGTTTAACGGTTATGTTTGAAATAATGAAAACATATGGTCACACATACGAAAAGCATTGGTGGCAGGATTTGTTTCGGATAGTCTTCCGAATATTTGACAATATGAAGTTGCCAGAACAGCAAACAGAGGTAAATACTACATAAGAACAGTTCATATTTTACTACTCTTATGCCTTTATGTTCACATTTCTTCAGATAGCATTTTATACCTATAAGCTGAGCATAGAATTGTCTGTAGCGTATCCATTTTTTATTGTTCTTCATGCTGTCTTTATTGGCATACATTATATAAAGCTCTCTTCTGCATAACGAATAATTTTGAGTACAGACAGTCATGTACTAAAGCTTTTTCTAGATTAAATTGTTGTAGGACTAATCACTTTATTCCTACATTGTGCTAATCCTTATGTGATTCATGTTTTCTTCTATTATGATTAGTTACTCATGCTACCAACTTAGATGTTTTTACAGAACATCAAGCAAAAAGAATCCTCAGGGTCTTTTAATATCTCTTTTAGCATCAAAAGACTTTACAAGGAAGTGAAGGATGAAGATAGACCAGGTTAACAAGGGCCAGTTATTAAGAGATGTAGATTTTTATTGTTAGGCTATTTCAGATAAATGTTGACTAAAGTGTTGAGTGGGAATTTAATAAAAATGATATTTTGAGAAGATACTTAAAATTCCCTCTTGATTGTTTTCATAAACATAGTATGCTATTTCACAACTGGATGCTTATTATTTGGCAAAATTTCCATGTGTAACTGTCCTTTTGTAATAGTTTACAAAGATAATGGGGTTCGTTTGATAGAAAATCTAATTTACATTAAAATTAAAATTTAAAGCTCTGCTAGCAAAATTATCTCTATATGAGGTTGATCATTCCAACAAAGTCTGAAACTTCATAACTGTTTACTTTTTTCTTTGAGCCAAAAATATCCCGGAAGTATGAACAAAAAATACTAAATGGCTCACACTTCCCTGCTTTGTCTGCCATTGTAACAGCAAAGTTGCTGTGGTAGTGCTGAATGAAATTTTCACCTTGGGTTCAGAGTGCTTCATTACTTTGCATACTTCAGTTGATATCTGATAAACCAAATGACATTAAACGTTCATATAAATAATTAGCACATTTGCAAAGATATGTAATTACACGGAGGCAAGTTAGAAAAAACATTTTTATAGTTCTTTGCGATAGTTATGACCTAAACCCAGTGCTTAAGAATGTAAAAGGAAGCTGCCTTGCCTCTCATGATTTCCTTTATGTTGCTGTTATGTTAAATGAAGATCCGCTTTGGGCTTCTCTAACTTGTTCTCAGCACTCTGTTTAGGCTTCTGTTACAGAGTTGTTGTTTTTAATATTCTCCAAGCTTCCTGAAGGACTTTGATGCTCCTCGCTGCCTTTCAGTGTAATTAACACAATTATTATTGAGAAAGTCTCTCTACTTTTTTTCCTAGAAAGCAGAGTGGATGACAACAACTTGCAATCATGCACTTTATGCGATTTGTGATGTATTCACACAGTATTTAGAAGTACTTAGTGATGTTCTTTTGGATGATATATTTGCTCAGCTGTATTGGTGTGTTCAACAAGGTAAGATTACACTAAGTTGTTACAGACAATGCTTACAATTTACTCTGTATAATATGAACAAACTAATGTCTTGTTTGCATTTCAGACAATGAGCAACTAGCACGGTCTGGTACAAACTGTTTAGAGAATGTTGTCATTCTGAATGGGGAGAAGTTTACCCTTGAAATCTGGGATAAGACTTGCAACTGTATGTTGGATATCTTCAAAACCACTATTCCCCATGCGTAAGATATTTTTCCTTTTGTAAATATTTGGGAGGAAGTCTACATTTATATTTACATATATATGATATAATTAGCATGCACTAGCTATGCTTGTTTTGATATAGTGAACATGTGCTAGCATATGTTTGTTTTATGTGACATTGGGCTTAGTCACACATAAGAATGCTGGACTTCTTGCCTCTTTCTGTCAGACCCTTGACTAATTCATGCTCAGGGCAGCTCAAGTCCCACACCTGCTTATGGTTTTTAATAATAGAGTGAGATGGTTTGGGCTTCTCTTCTGCTTTTTCTCAGCCAGCTGAACTGAATTTGTTCAGATGTGTTTAGTGACTGATGATCTTGTATAACATTGTTGCTTAATAAGCTAATTAAGATCCTTCCTTCCTGAGCAGCTTCTAGTAATTGAGGAGCATTAAGATAACATTGCAAAATCTAATGGCCGCACTTTTTTTCCTTGGGGCTAAGAAAAACTGTAAATTAACTAAAAGAGGTGAACATACGAGAAAATATGCTATATTCACTTATAATCCAGGAAGGGTTTTTTATATAATTTTTGACCCATTTTTGTTGAGAACATTACTACAGGTTTATAACTGTTTTTATCTTAAAACACTGAAATATTATTTCTGTTTTAGAACTAAAGAATGTTTCTTTCTCTTTTCAAGGCTTTTAACTTGGCGACCAGTGGGGGGAGATACTGCATCTCCATCTTCTGGAAGAGAGAAACAGTTGGTATGTTTGCAAAATAAAAATGGCAGAGATAATATATTGGAATGCATCAATTAAGTGTATCTTTTAGAGTTAAAGAGGTGTATATTTAGAAAGAAATGTTGATGTAAATTAAATCCTGAATATTTTTGGCAAGTTGTAGACTTCTGAGCATTTTGTTTTATTTATTTTTTGGGAGGAACACAAGAAAGAAAATCAATATAACAATATAAATTCCAAAAATAATTGTGATTAAAAACAGACATTGGTGTCAACAGGGCTTAGCCCATAGGGTGATAGGTTTGAGGTGTCAAGCCTACTCTCCCAGAACCCCCTGAGTCTGCACACCCTGGACCTGTATCTTCCTGCCTTAGTGTAGCTGCTTGGTTGTCATTGCTGCCACTAGTTATCTTCTGGGGTCACCTCACCTGATCTTTTTGTCTTCCCACTAACTTTGCCAGGTGAGAGAGAACAGGTTCCTACAATCTGTGTCCTTTATTGGTATGTAAAAAGAAGATTATAAAAATAAATAAATTCTATAACAGCACTCCTTGGCCCTGTAGCATTGTGGTGTGAGACTAATAAAATCAGCCACAAGATATAAATAGAATCAAACATTTAGCCATGTCACAAGATATAAATAGAATCAAACATTTAAAAAATAATAAATAAATAATATTGCTATTATTCTCCTAGTTAGAGACAATTCTGAAATAAAGAGATTCCAAGTTGCACAAAACCATACATTGACAGAGCTTGTATGGGGCAGTAGAATTCAGAAACAATAAGGCATTAACTAGCAGACACAGAAAAGGAATTAAATTTAGTGCAGTTCTTAGTTACCTTTTCCATATTCCTCCAGAGAATAGTCCTTGAAATAAAGGTTACATCTATGCCAATTTGTTTCCTGGAAAGTTCTTCCTGAAAACCTCAGCTTAAAACCGAGGTTAAGGTGAGATGTTAAATCCCACTGGTATCTAGCCTCTTGTTCATCAACAACTTCTAGATTTTACAAGGATAAAATCTTTTCCTAAGTAGCAGAGAGTGGTTTGGGGTGATCTGCTTGTGTACACACCAAAATGCATGTGATTCTGTTTGAGTTGAAAAAGACGTGTCTGTAGATCTTGTGAATGCTAGATGGTATCAGAACAGATGGCCGTCTATAATGACACAGTATGAGCCAAGGCCTCACTGAATTAACATTTTAAGAGCCTTCTAGAAAGCAAGGTGTGTTGGGAAGTGGCATCCCTCCAGAGGCAGCGTGTTTCATACTAGGTAGGTTGCTATTGAAAAGGCCTACCTTTCAGGATGGATTCTTTATATAAAATGTTAATGAAAAACAGCTTTTCTGGGAGCACTTAACATATAAATCAATTGTTGTTTAGTCGTTAAGTCGTGTCCGACTCTTCGTGACCCCATGAACCATATCGCACCA